CTCTCTCTCTCTCTCTCTCTCTCTCTCTCTGTCTCTCTCCTCCTCCTCCTCCTCCTCCTCCTCTAAATGAACATCTCAAAAGACCATTCTATCGTGTCAATTTCTTCTAGTAAATGTCACATTCTTCATATTTCCGTAGCGCTATTTTTGTATAGAGACCGTATAATGGAAGGGAAGTCCAAAGCCATATTTTGCAGCCTACAACGGGAAATGAGATTAAAAACGGTAATTATTCTGGACCGTGCTGGGAGTTTTTTTTGGCTTGATTTGGATTCCTTTTTTTCTGGGGTATTAGTGAAAAATGTTCCTCTTCTTTTCATTTGCTTCAACTGTCAATGGCTTTTGGTGATTCCAATTGCTGAATTTCAACTAATTTTTTGTGGATGTTTGGTGGATACTGTAGTGTAGCCTGCTTCTTATGCTCTATTGTAAAGACTCAGTAAAGTGTAGTTTCTTCCTTAAGTCCGTTTTCTTTTCTTTGATAGTGTTCTGAGCATTAAGTGCAAGATCATTGTACTTTATTTGAGGATTCTAATAGAGAATTCTGTTTCGTCAATGGAATGGTATTTCTCAATTGATGGTAACTTTGTGTACTGTCTTGTGTCAGGTGGGCATGCTGGAGGGCATCCCTGCGCTCATCAACGGCATCAGGATGGTGCACAGCATCTCCCGCTACTACAACACTTCGGAACGCATGACCTCTCTCTTTGTCAAGGTTGGTGCTTTTCTTTTATTTGAGCAATTTGAAGAAAATTCAGCTGGAGTATGTCTAGAATTGTTGAACTGTTAATGAAATTTTTAAGTGCTTTGAAATGTAATACACAATTAATTTATTTTAAAAAGATGAGATGATGGTAAGATTTTAATGGTGAATTTTTTTCCTTTTGTTTGTAGGTATGTTATATTGTAGTAGTTGTCATAGTTATATTGTAGTAGTTGTCATAGTTATATTGTAGTTGTTGTCATAGTTATATTGTAGTAGTTGTCATAGTTATACATTTCTGGCAGTTTATTTTTTTTTCAGTTTGCCTTGTCTTTAAAAATGTGTGTTTATTTTGTATTGACTTTCTGATCACCTGGAAGTGGAAGGTCATTCCTTTCTCATTTCTTCCATGATGATGTTGTACTTTTTGCTTTTCAACCACAATATAGAACAAGTCATGATATTATAATTTTTATTTGGCTTTAGAATGTAATATCTGTTGGTGTTTACATTACATTTTTTCATTCTAAAACATTTGTTTTATTAAAGTATGTTGGCTTTTATTTCAATCTGCATCAGATCACGAACCAAATGATCACTGCTTGCAAAGCATACATCACCGACAACCGCATCGAGACTGTGTGGTCACAGCCTATGCCCATGGTCAGGGAGAAACTGAAGGCCTGCATCAGGCTCAACGAGGAGTACCAGAAACATTTCCACAGGACCAAGGTGAGTGGCACAAACAGAAGCTAGAGCCTTTGAGCTGATGGCTGAGTTGTTCAATGGTGTAAGTCTTGTCAAGGAATTATGACTACTGTATCAGTGGAGTGGTTTGTACAAAGTTGAGATGTGTTCAGGAAGCCTTTCCCAAGATGGAAAATGAAAAATCATTCTTATAAAAAATGACACGTAAAGCAAGTCAGTTTCATGACATATTTTCTTTGGTGCAGTTGTTTTTTGGTATTGTTATTTTTTTGGTCAGTTGTCCAGAAGCTGCCAAGTTTACCCTTTTTGACTGAATGTGATGGCTTAGAATATGCATGTCTGCTTCAGTTGTGTCAGTGTACTGTTTAGAATGATTGAAACAGTGGTGATGGAAGAAGACGATTTCTCAGGGCTTATAGAGTTTTGTTATTATTTGTTTGGGTCCTTAAATGCAGAGCCCACAAATTTGACTACAAGATCAGTGTACAACCAAATGTATCAATCTAAGTACAGCTTTGAAATCATTATTATGCTTTGTTTGTGTGTTCAACGAGTCGAACCGCTCATATTTCTTTCTCTTCTTGCTTCATCAGGCAAAGCTTGAAAACACAGCAAATGAGCGCCCCTTTGATTTCTCTGAGATGTACATTTTTGGCAAGTTTGACACATTCACCCGCAGACTCAAGAAAATCCTGGACATGTTTGACACCATTGATCTTTACTCTCATTTGTCTGAGAGCAAAATTGAAGGTAATGTTCAAAGCTTTCATTTCAATTTTAAAGTGGTCTTTTGCATTTGATTTTAAAAAAAAATCAATGACAGCATTATGCTGAGGTAGTTTTGCCTTTGAGAATAATGATTACACTGTAATTGGCTGTATTCAAAAAGTCATGATTTGATTGATTAGTACAACCATCTTATGTGTACAGTGTTGAATGCCAAGTACTCATTGTGGTGTCTCAATAAATTTTTAGAATTTTTGGCACGTAAGTTTTTTGAGTTTAGACTGAAAGAAATATCCCGAAAAAAAGAATATGAAAAGTTGTTTGTGATATTTTGTGAACTTCTTGTGAGTTTAGATTTTTTCTGTTTTTGCCCTCAGGCATGGAACTGATGGCCAACAAATTCAACGTGATTGTGACATCTATCCGCAAGAGGCCTTACGACTTCCTGGACCAGAGGAAGATGGAGTTTGACCAGGACTACGAAGACTTTAAGAGACAGATCTCAGACCTGCACGTGAGTGTTCAGATTGCATATGGCTTGGGAAAGCAGTTATATTTCAACTTGAATTTTATGTCTTATTTTATTTTGTTGTTGTTGTTGTTGTTGTTTTCAGGGGAGCTTGTTAGTCTAAAAGTAAGGTACTTACGTCACATGATAAAGTACTTTGTTTAATTCTCAGTCGGTACAGGCGTAACTGAAAGATCACTTTGGACACTTAGTTTTTATTTTTTGGTGCTCACTTCCCTGGTTTCAGAGTCAGTAGGATTGAATACTTAGTCTTCTCAGATATGGATGAAGAATTCAAAGGTCTCATGTGCTCATGACGTACATAAAAGCAGCTGGCGACTGAATGTTGAAAAAGATTCTTCCTGTTGAGGTCAGCCGCCAGGGCCAATTTCTAAATAACCAAAGAAGAAGATGAGGAATTTTCGTTCTGGACTGTATTTAACACCCATTTATTTTCACCTCATTACTATAGTTGTGGAATAGTGACTCGTACGTGCCTTGTTGCTGATGAAATTTTTCTTGTACATTTCTGTCTCATCTGTTGCTCCTTTCTGTTGGTTTTCACTTCCTAGCCTTCAACTTCTGATGATGTAGAGTAAGAAATTTTAATGAAAAGATGGATAGCGTGGAAAGAATGATTACTCAGTAGATGGGAGCTAATTTAATGGTTCTACTTCAACGAAAATTTTCAACAAAGCAGAAGCTAGGGAGAAGTAGGGATCAGAAATGAGGCATGCATCAGTGGCTACTGTCAACGGTAATATGATGACGACAGATTACTCCAAGAATCACTTTGATACTCAATATGTGATACAGCGTTGTGGAATCAGGCTCTCGTCAATTTTTGGGCATGTATAGTTATTGGTATCATCTTAAAGCTTATTCACTTGTCTTTATTTGAATGAAAAAAATATCAATTTATCTAGAATACAAGTCGAGATATTTGCTAATGAAGGAGGTGGGGGTCACTTGTTTTCAGAGGAAAAGTTAGTGAGATAATTGCCGCCAAAGATTAGTTATTCCCATAGCTTAAAAGTCCGTGGTAACTGAAAATTTCCATTTTTTCTGCCTCTAATTATCGTTTTTCAGGAAAATCCACACAGAAATGAGTTTTTTAATTGGCATGAAAGGTGTTGAGCCAAAAAACAAAAATTTACTAAAAATTCACAAACCTGTGGATAAAAGCAGGTTTCTTCACTTTGATTATTTTGACGAGAGCCTGATTCCAGCACGCTGCCTCACATATGGTATCTCAGATGGTATCACATATGGTATCGCATATGGTATCGCATATGGTATCACATATGGTATCACATATGGTAACTTTGTTCCCCCAGAGTGCCATTGTGAACTTCATGGACCAGAAGTTTGAGAAGATCAACAGCACCCAGCGGGCTCTGGTCCTCCTGCGCAAGTTTGAGATGCTTCAGCTGGCCAACCTCAACACACAAGTGCAGGACAAGTATCACCAAATTCTGCAGCACTACAGGTGAGGGGCACTAGTCGACATACTGTCGTCATCGTCTTCATCATCATCATCGTGGTCATCATTGTGCTAATTATCATCATCAACATCATCATCATCATCATCATCATCATCATCATCATGGTCATCATTGTGCTAATTATCATCATCATCATCATCATTATCATGGTCATCATTGTGCTAATTATCATCATCATCATCATCATCATAGTTTTAGTTGTATATATAGTATGGAAACAAC